TAATTCACTTACAGTACCCTGTGGGTTACCACAGTTGTATCTTGAACTTCAAATAATTGTCTCCTTTTCGTCAAAGTTCACACAGACAGGTTCAATTACTTTAGAACACACTTTGACGAGACAAATTATTCTCTTTATCTCTATCAAACTACAAAATTTACTTTAAAATATCACCCGTTATGGCATCACTCACACACTGGCTAATATCACATTTTCTTTCCCTAACTAATGTTCTGAGTAAACTGCACTTTTTCTCTATTACTTTACTTCACTTGACTTGACTTGCACTTGCTTTGCTGCCTATACTTATACATTGCACAAACGACGCCTCAAACTTTCTCTAAAGTATGCGAGTGGGTGTTGTAAGGCAACAATACTCACTTAAGGTAATGAGAAAAATACTGAAGATTCAATTAACATGACATAAACAATATTAGTAAAGCCTAGACAACAATGTAACTGCAAAGACAATGTACGACTTCTACAGAGTTATGCAACCAAGCTTGTCATAACTATTGCCTTTAAAATGATTATTATGCAACCAAACTTGTCATAACTATTGCCTTTAAAATAATTACTTTTAACTCTCTTGTTATGAAAAGTTAATTAAATAATAAATCACCAAATAACTTAAATAATAACACTAACATTAAACAGTCTTGTATATCCAACATGCATGTAATTTTTGTTTAAAAATGATTAATAAAACTGAATAAATTTATTTTCTTTCAACCAGAATATATAAACTAACTCTGGAAAATTAACAACTTTTTCTGCAAAACACCAAAAATTTGTAATAAAAAAAAGACAATATTTATCAGTATATAGGCCCAGGATGGCCAGGTGGTTAGGGTGCTCAACTCGCAATCTGAGGGTCGCGGGTTTGAATCCACATCCCACCAAACATGCTCATCCTTTCAGCCATGGGGGCATTATAATGTGGTGGTCATTTCCACTATTCTTTGGAAAAGAGTAGCCCAAAAGTTGGCAGTGGGTGGTGATGACTAGCTGCCTTCCCTCTAGTCTTACACTACTAAATTAGGGATGGCTAGCGTAGATAGCCCTCATGTAGTTTTGCGTGAAATTCAAAAACAATCAGTATCATGTAAATAAATAATACTTTATAAAATTCAAGACTTTTCTATCTATCTACTATACTTTTAAATACAAATAGTTTATAATAGCCATGTATAATAAAGAGTTGATGAAAATTTCACTTACCATAACATGCCTGCTATTCAAATAAAATCGTGGAATCATTGGGTCAAGGGAGTGAAGGAATGCCATTCCACGAGCAATATCAATTGCAAACTTCAGTGCCTGAGATGTATCTACTACAATCCCTGAATAAAAAAAGTAATGTAATTGTAATGTATATTTCTGAAATAATCAGGTAAAAATTCCAAAAGGATAGTAAAAATATGAAACTGAAAAACAATTGAGCATGCAGTAAATATATTGTCCAATAAACTATGTTTGGTTACTTATAATTTTTGGCTTTTATTTATAGAAGATAAGTAAAAATAATGATGGAAAATAAATCATAAATAAAACTTGGCAAGTAAATAAGAGTTGCATGTGGTATAAAAGTATACTGTTACGACACTTTACAGATACTTTATGTACTAAGTTGTACTTTTTTTATATTTGCATGCATGTGTGTATTTATGCGAGAGGAAAACAGTGTTACATGCATTGCAACTACTTCTTGGTATTCTTGTATCTTTTTGTTGTCCATAATATTCATGCTAAAACTAACCATCATCACATAAATATTTTTGTTCTCTGGCAGACATATAAAGAAATAAATCTTGAAGAATCATTCTCATTTAATGTGGGTGATAAATAAACAAAAAGTGGGATTACATCACGTTCATATCTTGCATTCAATTTTTTTTTGTTTTCAATGGAAGTAGATTTTGACCCTCGTAAGAATCATGATCAGGCCCAATATATGCTATATCATTTATTTATCAATTTTTTCTCTCTCTTATACCTTATTATTTCTAATTTTATGTATTTCATCTTCAATTGCAGCATGAACACTGGTTTAACAATACAGAGCATACTAACTAAAACATGCTCCTCTAGACACATTCAATGTTATTGTTCCTTTTTAATTGTTGTTATGTTTTCACTGAGCCTGATGAGGTACAACTCTTTCAGCATGGGCTCGGTCCCTGGGA